CAGTCGTGGCCCAGCACCTGCGCGTCAAAGTCGTGCGTCTCGAACGACGAGTGGTGCACGTGGAACTTGGGGCCCTCGAAGAAGAAGAAGCAGTGGTGATCGACGTATTCCTTGCCGCGGCCGAGGCGGAAGAAGACGGTGACCTTCTTGTCCTTGTTGTCGGGCGCGTGTACGAGCTGCGCAGATTCCAGTCAGTCTAAGTGTATTCATGCCTCCCTTTCCCCCCTTTGCCTTCAGAAGTCCGAAGCGAAGATGAAGGTGGTTTCTTACCTCGCTGGGGTAGAAGTTGAAGTTGCTCGTGTAAAACTCGTACGCCTTATCAAAGTTGGTCAGGCAAACGCCAAAATGGCCCAACTTGTGCACCGGCGCGGGCCGCTTCGTGAAGCGCTGCTTGTGGTTGACCTCGCGATGCTTCTCCGTCGGCTACCACACCCAACCGCGTTAGCAGATACTTCCCCCCTTTAATTCCCCTCTCCCTACGACATAACGCCTCACTCAAGAAACTCACAAAGTTGAACTTCAAATTCGGAAACCCAGGATCTCTCCTCTCCACCGCGGTCTGCCCATACACCAAATGGAACGGCCACCCGTCCACCGGGTCCTTGAACGTCACGCACTTGCCGCCGCCCTGCACCTCGCCCAGCTCGTAGATCTCGCTCGCGCCGGGCAGGGTCTTGGCCGCGTGCTCGAGGTCGTCGAGCGACTCGACGACGAACGCCGGACCCCCAAACTCGTCCTCATCCGCCTCCTCCGCGCAAAGCACCAGCGGCTCGCTGCCGTAGCCGCGGTAGTACGTGCGCTTGCCGACGCGGGCCGTCTCGTAGAAGCCGAAGTCGTCGTAGAAGGCGCGCGCGGCGTCGATGTTTTTGTGCTTGTAGTAGACGTGGGCGATGCGCACGAGTTGGATCTTGCGGGACATGGTGGGCGGATTGTGTACTTCTCGTCTTCGTGTTATGCGATGTGGTGATGAAGGACAGGTTGCGCTTGAGGAGCCGAAGTCGCGACCGGGTCAATGAACACGAGGAGTCTTCAAAAGCTTCGGGGTCTTCTTATATCATCTGTCCCTTTACACTGCGTCGCAAATGCCGTTGGAGAACGGGGGCATGTGGAGGGAAAGGGGTGGGAGGACATCAGCCAGTTTATTTCCCCCGCACTACCCCACCACAGTCCATCGGACGTCACGCAGCGCTCGGTACTTGCGCTGTGGCACTAGAACAGTCCGGCGCCGCGGGAACCAACCCAAGACCCCTTGTTTTTCTTTTCATGGACCAGGTGGCGTTTGTGGTGGTTGCTGTGGCCGGGTAGCTTCAGATGGCGCCGTGCCGAGGAAACTCAGACCGCTGGGGGGCTGATGGGAAACGTGGCGTCGGGGACGGACATTTGGTTGAGGAAGAGCGTCGTTGCCCGGGTTCCCGAACACGCCGAGGAAAGTTATGTTTGTTTGAACTTGCGGCTGCTGCAAGCTCTCCCATCGGTTGTGACAAACGGCGTCAGGAGATGTTTGCAAATTTGCGTGAGTGGAATTGCCGGGCATGGTTACCGGACGAGCACACCGTGTGTATCAGAGCTTCCTCATCTCATTCAAGCTGTGGGAGCTGTCATGTGTGTGGCCATAGCTTCGGGATCAAAAAGTAGCCTCCGATATGAGATGCGACACACAAGGTTTGGCCTGTGGTTGCTTGGGATCGGCTTCTTAAACATTTCGATGTGATGGTGGTTTTACGGATTTACGGGTTTACAAGCAGTGCGTGATTGGAGATGGGGTGAGCTTCTGCCGAGGCAGTTGGGGATATAGCAAAAAAGACGGAATACAAGCCGTCTTCTTCTTCAATCTTGTGTTTATTCTTTGAACGCAAGTTCCGGCTCTTTGCACGACGGAAATGACGTTTTTAGAGTGAAATCTGGTCCCCGGCGTTCTTATAATACCGGCTTTTACCGCCGGATTAACGGGACAGAGGTGGGGCCGGTCCCGGGCCGCGGCACGGGAACACCGCCGAATACACAAAGTTGACCCGGGATAATATGCCGAGAAATCTATCCATATCGCGCCGTGATTTGGTACATCCTACCGCAAGCCTATCAATAAGACCAACACAGTCATCATACCCGCGCAACATCACCTCCACTTGCCCGTTTCGGCACAGTGCCGATCGTACCCGCTGGGGCCGGGACACGCGGAAGACATACCCAGCCCCGCGTTTCTGAATCTCCACAGGTATTGCTGGAGCAGCTCAGAAGCCCAAGCTATGTGATGCGGACTGGCGTCGCGGACAGCCGGGTTTGATGTAATCTACGAATATCAACACTACAGTCCAGTTCTCGTCGACATGGGGAACTGGGGCACGCTCCCACTGATTCATTCTAGATGACAGGATTGATGTCCTTTTCTGAAGGCCAAGACTGGCCAAGAGGCAATGCCGTCAGCTCAATTATGGAGTCTCTGCATGTCCTATTGAGGGTCTTTGGTCGACAAGCAGAATCTCTGCTGCTCCAATTGGGTCGCAGCTCCGGTTTGCTGACCACCTTCATGCAAAGTACCTAGATCATCGAAAGACAACACATTGCCAAGTTCGAGAAATGGCTTTTGGGATGACAGTTCAACGATACGAATGCCTCCTTTGAGGAAACACGCACCGTCGCAGAATTCACGACAGTGAGGAATCAACGCTGACTGGCAGACGACCTCATGGTTGGTCCAAAGCTATACAGCAATTGGCTATGTTGACGGTGCATCTAGGCCCTAATGAGCCGTGAAGCATCCATGACAAGCATTGAATCTTCATCCTGACGGCCTTCTTGCATTGCGATCTACCAGGAGGTTGGCGATGGTGGTCAGCCCCAGATGGCAGTCCACCTACATAACCTAGGACAGCTCACCTCCAGCCATTTTCCTCAATCGAATCGCGACAACCATCGCCAACCAACACACAATGATCGACTTCACCCTATCCGACTCACAGCGCACAGCCCGCGCCAACGCGGCAGCCTTCGCCTCCCAACTCCTCCACGGCGCCTACGCCTCCTACACCCAGCTTCCCAACGACGGCGTCACCCGCTTCCTCTCCACCAAGCCCCTCTTCGAGACCGCCGTCCGCGCCGGGGTCATCCGGTCCCTCGTGCCCCCGCACCTCGGCGGCACGGGCGGCACGCTCCTCGAATCGGCGCTCGTCACGGAGGAGCTCTTCGCCGTGGAGCCCGGCGTCGCGCTCAATCTCCTGACGGACAGTTTGGGGCTCATGCCGCTGATCTTCTCTTCCGCCGACGAGTCCCTCAAAAAGGAGCTCGTGGCGCCGTTCTTGGCGGCCGAGGGGGCCCCGCTGGCAGCGTTTCAGTGGTCTGAGCCCGGCGGCACGGCGAACTTCTTCGAGAAGGGCGGGAGGGGCGCGCAGACGGTGGCAAGGCGCCGGGGTGATGGGTGGGTTGTCAACGGCGAGAAGATGTGGGCGGGGAATTGCACGGGGTGGGATGGGCGCGGGGCGGATGTGCAGACTGTGTTCTGCCGGGACGGCGATGGTGATAGCGGCGACCTGGTGAGTTCGGCGATGCTGCTGGCTATCCCGCGCGCCGTGTTAGACGAGAATGACGAGGGCGCGTTTCGGGTGGTGAAGTACATCGAGACGCCGGGCTTCACGGCGCACTGCGGCCCGCACGTCGCCTTCACCAACCTGCGCGTGCCGGAGAAGTACGTGGTCGCGAAGGGTGACGAAGCGGTGCGGATTGTCGAGATGGCGTTCGCGGCGACGGGGGCCATGGTCGGGGCCATGGGCGCCGGCATCATGCGCACGGCGTTCCGGTCCGCGTTGCGCTTTGCCAAGGACAAGGACCAGGGCGGGAGCGTCAAGGTCCTCGAGAGGCAGTCTGCGGCGGACCTGTTGGTCTCGCTGAAGACGAAGATTGACACCGCGCGGCTGATCAGCTGGAAAGCTGCGCACGCGGTGGACAATGGCGAAAAGGACGCGGTGGAGCTGTGCTCGCAGGCGAAGATCTACGGGTCTGAGGTGGCGGTGGAGGGGGTTGCGGAGGCGATGAGGGTCATTGGGATGTGAGTGTCTTTTATGAATGTCTCTTTTTGGCGGAAGTGCTAATGGAAATGCAGAGCGTCTTGGTCGAACGAATACCCATTTGCCAGACTTGTGCAGGAGGCGGCCGTGTTGCCCATCTTTGACGGCGGCAACCAGGGCGTCAGGAGGAGGGTTGTGCAGAAGGCGATGTTGGCAGAAGACTACGATCCATTTGGCGACCTCTGAGAGGTATTCGGTCGGACTTAGGATGCCACAAGTTGTGAGTGCCAGGGTTTCACATCCAAAGGAAGAGTTAGTTCATGGGCGTGATATTGTCGGGAATTGGGCATCGAATAGGGTCAATGTCTCGAATTCGTCTCTGATGATGATGATAGAATGTGGGCAGTGCGCTCCATAGTCTACTAATTCAGACCCTCCCTCCGAGCCCGCATCTCAGTGGATACCCATCTGGCGTTGTGGCAGAGTGGTCTAATGCGCAAGACTAGAAATCTTGTTCCTTCGGGAGCGTCTGTTCGAATCAGGCCAACGTCGATATTTTTTGCCTTTTGCCGTCCATGTCCGTTATAAATGTTCTTACTGTCTCTGTGCCAATGGTATCGAAATGATATTTTGTCCCGGGTCTCATTCCGCCAAGTTCTTCGTCTGATCTAGCTGTTTCGTTTGCTTCCCGTGCGGCCTTCCCGCCGAGAGTTTTCGATGCGCGGCCCGGGGGTCAAATCACCGCTGTAATCCCGCAGGACCCCGCCGTTAGAGCCAATGCGCTAGCTCCCCCGGCAGTGACGAAAAAAACCGCCCGTCGCAATTTATCGCTCTGCCCCTCCAAACAGTGATTCCCACCAGCATCTACAACCCACCCAGCCTCGATAACGACGATAACCCCGACTCTCATTCTGCGTCCACGACATCACCCACGCCAATCCAACGCACCTCACAATTTCCCACACACAAGACGTCCCACGAGGGCACTCCCTCCACACAATGCCCAAAAAGCTCTCCAAAACCCCGCAAGGAGGCAGCACATCCACCCTCGGCAACGGCACGCCCTCCACCTCGACCACCGCCTCGCTCTCCCTCCCGCGCATCCTCACCGACGACCTGCCGCTGCCCAAGCTCATCGTCTTCGACCTCGACTACACCCTCTGGCCTTTCTGGGTCGACACCCACGTCTCGGGCCCGCTCAAGGCGAACGCCGCGCACTCCGCCGCGACGGACCGCCACGGCGAGTCCTTCGCCTTCTACCAGGACGTCCCGCGCATCCTGTACACCCTGCCGCTGGCGGGCGTGAAGCTCGCGGTGGCCTCGAGGACCAGCGCGCCGGAGCTGGCGCGGGATATGCTGAAGCTGCTGCACGTGCCGCCGCCGAGCGCGGAGGAGGGCGGGAGCGGGAAGAAGGAGAAGGCGCGGAAGGCGCTGGAGTTTTTCGATGGTGGGTTGGAGATCTATCCGAGTAGTAAGATCCGGCACTTTGAGGCGATTTTCCGCAAGACGGGGATCCCGTTTACGGAGATGCTGTTTTTCGATGACGAGAGCAGGAATCGGGATACGGAGAGCTTGGGGGTGACGATGCATTTGGTCAGGGACGGGACGAGTTGGGCGGAGATTGAGAAGGGCGTGGCCGAGTGGAGGAAGAGGAGGGGGTACACGGGCTAGGGCGTGTGTGTACACCGTGGCTGCACGAGAATGATTGACGACGGCGAGGGCGATAGAATCTAAACGCGAGGATAAAACAGTACATAGAGGCGTTGGGGGCGGTAAGGTTTCGGGCATCCCAGTTCCACGGACGCGGGGAGGGTTCGCCAGACGTAGGACGGGACGGGACGATACGATCACACCGAGATCTGATCTCAGGGTCTTCTGGCTTTAGATGATGCGACGTCTTTCTTGATACCATGCACTTCTAGAGATGAAATCAAACAATGTTTTTGGTATTTCAGAACTAAAAACTCCAGCCCATGTTGTTGCTCCGTCGTCCGACGACTGACCAAAGCCAGATGTAAATTAATAGGACCATCGAACCCTCGGGGGTATATATATATGATAACAGCCGTTTCCCAAACCACACCCAAAAGCAATCGCCCCCTGCCGCATATGCATCCCCCTCTTTTCTATATTCTACTCGGAATTCGTCTATGCCAGACCCACGGGCGCCGTCGTGCTGCCGTTGGTGTGCTTCTCGGTAATCTCCTTGGTCTCGGAGATGGACAGCTTTGACAGCTCGTCCTCGCCATTCGTCGTCGCCGCCTCGGGCTCGGTGATCTTGACAGGCTCGGTCTGGGTGCCCTCCGTCACGGCGTCCTCCTTCTCGTCAACCGGCACGGTCGTGGTCGTCTCCACCGCGACACCATTCGTCTTCGCAGGCGGCCACGTGCGCGGCACCGAGGCGATGAGCTCCTCCTGCTCCTTGCCGTTGACGCAGCCGATGCCGAAGCACTCGACGCGGGTGCCGTCGGCGGTCTCGCGCCAGACGGCGGGGCGGCCGGTGAAGGCCTTGTGGCCGTTCTCCCAGCGCACGACGCCCACCCACGCGGGGTCGACGGTGGGCTGGTCGCCCCAGGAGAACTCGAGCTGGCCGCCGTACTTCTTGGGGATGTTGCGCGGCTCGACGAACTGCTCGAGCGTCGGGAGGACCTCGTGCGGGGAGAGGATGAAGATCTTGGAGACGGTGATGGGGTCGAACCAGCGCTTGACCCAGCCCCAGACGGTGGAGAAGAAGACGGGCGCGCCGATGATGAAGATGCCTGCGTGACGTCAATGACTGCGCGAGTAGGGGTACACTGTAAAAAAGGCTTACGGTCAAGAGTCTCGGGGTAGTGCGCGGTCGCGATCTGACTGGCAGCCTGCATGTGACTCTTCAGGTTCCAGAACTGCTTCAGGCTGACGCCCGAGATGTCGACAATGTTTGTGCTCAGGGTGATGGGGGTATCGTTGAAGTCGCGGTCCTGCAGCTGCGTTGAGAAGGGCTGGTTGAAGCGGGTGAGGTTCTCGTAGAGGGCGAACAGGCGCAGCAGGCCCTGCGGGGTCTTGCCGTCCCACTTGGCCTTGCTGAAGGTCTCCTTGCCGGACTTCTCGTAGGCGGCGATGGCCTTGGTGTCGAGGTGCTTGATCTCGAAGAGGTACAGCGGGATGCCGCGGCGGTCGCGGCGGCCGGTCCATTGCGGGTACAGGCGGCGGCTCTGCTCGTAGGCGTCGAGCTCGATGGTGTGGTAGAGGGTGTCGATGTCGCTGCCGGCGCGCCACTCCTCCGTGTCCTTGAACTGCGTGAGGGCGTCTGCGGGGACCCAGCTGCGGGCTCTGAGGTATCGCCTATTGGAGGGGGGAGGCAGTCAGCTTTTCGTGTGTCCCGGTACATCCGGCGCAAAGAGAAAAACTGAGCAAGGAAAAAACGTGTAGAGCGGCTCACAGAAGTGTTTGGTCGTCGTGGGAAGCAGGCGGGCCTGGCTTGTATAGCCCCTTCTCCTCGACCAGCTTCTTGAAGGCGACGAGCTGCGCCTCTTCGTGCTCGTTGAGGTGCCCCAGATGGCCGCGCGGGTAGCCGTGTTCGGCGACGACAGTCGAGGTGTGGGATTTCACCTTGGAGGCGGGGTCGAGAATCGCGGTATCGGCCATATTTTTTTTGGTGTGTGTGGTTTTATCGTGCTCTTTTTTTTGTCTGTCCTTTATCGAGATGTGATGTCGGATCTGTGTCGGCGGTGTGCGACAGGCAGGTTTCTCTTTGGGGAAACAAAAGGTCGTATTTCCTCCGTCAGCCGGCGTCAGCAAGCAGCGCAAAGTGTGCGAGGTCGCTCTGGAAAAGATCGGGGGCGGCGGCGGCCTCGAAGCGGACTGCGGACTTTGACATGGTGGGCGGGCAGGCGGGCGTTGGCGGGACGGACGGGATCTTGTTGGGTCCCATTCCCTCTCGCAGGTGCAGGTGCAGGTGTGGAAATTTGATGTGTAATCGGTGTGGGAGAGAGATCCATGGATCCCGCTATGCCGTTCCCGTTGAAGTCGCGAGGAGATGACCGGGTTCCTTGTACCAAACCCCTGTCGCCTGTCAGTCAGCGGCAGCCTTTATCACCACCCGTGCCGCCCGGGGTCATTCGCCCGAACAGCCCGACGCAGCTGCCCAATCAATGACGGCGAGAAAGCGTCCTTACGTCATACAACTCGGCCGACGTTCATCCACCTCGAACTTTTTGTTCTGTTGTCCGCGATCCTGAACTGAACTTTGCGAATAGCTTCAACCTTGGCTTCCCTCAGGATCCATGATGCATACGATACAATCCCGTCCTGCACCACAACGCCTCCACATGCATCTCGTCTCAACCATCAATCTCACCTGCAGCAGTGAAGCGCGCATGCCCGCCCGGCGCGACGCCACTGCATCCTTCCGCGCACTGTCCAGCCAATGGGAACACAAGCAGTGGAAACATCGCTTGCGAGTCATTGTGGAGCCTCACTGTTCAAACACAACCCGCAATGGACAGCACGCACGGCTTATGAGAAACCAAACATCCGGTCGACCACTCTGCAGGCGAGTCTGAAGTCGCGTGTGCAAAATGCCTCAGGGTTTCCCTATGATCATTCACATTGAACCAAACACACCGCCCAGCCGTCCCCCTCAAAAAGTAATGAATACCACGCGTGCAATGTGGAGGTATTTCATGCGCCTGGAGGCTTTATCCCGACTCTGCAGCTGCTTCCACATGGCCTCCTCGCCAATGACGTGTCGCGAATGGGAATCCACATGGCTCGTTCGGGCAAGCTAGTGCGAGCTTCTCGAGTCGTGGCCTGTGTTTGGGGTCGACACAGCTACATCACGGTCTTGATCTTGCTTCAAGGACTGCATGCGAAGATTGAACGATTAAAATGTGATTTGGACAACTTCTGCTGGGCCCTGCGACTTTGAAATGACAGAGCCAGGCTTCATAATGGCTCGAACATTTGCTTACTTTTCACATCTCCGAGCAGCTTTCAGCTAGCCATTCCTCGCGCAAGTCTTCCAGTCGCAATATTGCTTCCGGCAGACACTCCATGTCAACAAAACCTTGCTTGCTAGCATGGTCATCAATGATTTCGGAACCTTGATCTTCCCTCAAAGTCACCAAGGGCTTCTTGAGCAACTTTCGGCTGAGATGCTGCTTCAACGCCGTCTGTAGCGGCTTCAAAGAATCCTCCGTGTCATCCAATATCAACTCCAGCTCACGTGCTGCACCCATCTCGAGACCAGCCAACTCGCTCCCCTGCGCAGCCGTCTCGCATGTGTTGAAAGCTTCAAAAGAAGCAAGTGGCCATTCCAAGCAGCACCAACCCTCCAATAAGTCCATCATCCAGAGGGCCCGATCGATGAAAGATGTGTCTGTCGAAAAGAGGCAGCTCCAATGCAGCTTCTTCAGAAAGAACTCTGCGGGCGTCAGAGGCCCCTGCCAAGACCACACTCTGTTCGTATTGATACCGCGCTCCATGAGAAATTCGACCTTGGCGCGGAACAAGCTAGGAACTTCATCGTCCAAAGCGTTCCGCCAGACCTGGCCGACGTACTGATCGTTCATCTCAGCATTGATGTTTGCTCCTGTGGCGAGGAGAAACTCCATCATCTCGATCGAGTGGGCATCTGCGTTTGCAGCTTCGATGAGCGCGATGTCGAGCTCTCTGCGGTATCCATCGAAGGAGAGTGTGGGATATTTCATATGCCTCCGTGAAACATCAATCCTCATTCGCGCGAGGATCTTCATCATCGTCCGTTTCTTCCATCTCCAATACTCAGCTTCGGACGTATACGGCTTGGTGGGTCTGTACCAAAAGGTCAGGTGGTAGCGGCTGCGAGCGGCGAGGGCGAGGGATCCGAGGTGCCCGTGAGATCCGCTTGTCCGTATTGCAACTTCTTCGCTGCGTAATTCTGGCCTCGAGCCGGCGCTGTAGAGTATTTCTGCCCCCGCGTTAAGGAGGGCATCAGCGATTCTGAAGCTGCCAGTTCTTAACGCTCCTACGAGATGTGCTCTCAGGTCCTGAGGGTGGATGGCCCATCTCGGCGTGGACCGATGCGTCAATATCTGCGTGAGAGTATCAAAACGGTCGCGGTCAATGGCCCAACTAGTTGGATCTGTCCCTCGGAAAGAAGCGCGGTAGAGAGCGCAGTTGGCGATGCGTGCTAGGCCTCGACATGTGCGAGCAAGGCCGCTGATAGTGGTGGCGTCGTCTGCTGCACTCAATATTTCCGTGATCAGCTCTGGCGGCAAGTCTCCCAAAGAGCTTCTCGATCTAGTTGTGCTTTTCTGGGCGTCTTCGACATCTTCGTCGTTTGGGCGTAACATATCATCAACTTATCCTCCAACGCCGCGGTTGAGAACCAGAGTTGTCTGGAAATCTGAAATAGAGGTAGGTGTATCTCTTGCGCGGATCTTGGGGAACTCTCTCGAATCAATTGTTTTCGTTGGAACAAATCGCAGCGGAATTTGATTCTCTTGGCGAAACTAAATACCACCAATACTTGAACTTTCGAACCAGCTTCTTTGTCCTCTTCGTTGCTCTCACCACCAATTGCACGGCCTCCTTGAGTTGTTGGAGTCCAGTCATCACGCTTTGGCTGTGAACATACTTATGTTCAACACGTCAATCAATGAGAGCCCGAGTACCGGGTGATGTTTTCAAGGAGCTTCCACGTTGCCGCTTTCCAAAAGTCTTGATCAGCCTACATGGACAAACACAAATGCATACCATTTCCGTCACACTCCAGGAAAACCGCTATGAGAACAGCTATGCAACATGCTGAGTTAGGAACTGTTAGTCGAACCTTCGGGTCTGTATTGTCTCACGGCGGTCTAATCTTGCAGGAAACACCCGCCTCCAGGAGGATCGCTCGAAGCTCGGTAACCGTCCTTCCGCCATCGCATCCGTCCTCCTCTTCGTCACTATCGTACTCCCAATCGGACCCGTGCTGGTCGACGCCCTCTCTGAACGGATTATTCTCGTCGACATAAGTGCCCCAACACGGCCCCGGATGATCGGTGTCGCACTCCCAGCCCGATAACCAGACCTCTTTGAGGTTGGGATAGGTCCCCGCTTCAACTGCGCCCGCCAGCCACTCAATCTCTTGGCGGCATTCGTCGTCTCTAGGGTATCCGTGAATTTCGAGGGACCTCAGACTTCTTGGTAACATGTGCAGGGTGCATTCTTCATCCCACCCCATCTCCCGTACTGAGATCCCAAGTTCTTCGAGGCTGGTGAAGGCTGCAACCGAGCCAACGCAGAGGCCATCTTCTTGCCCCTCCGCCCCGAAGTTTATGTCGAGCTTTCGAAGGGTACTAGCATGCGATAAAAGCGCCGCCATGGTTTCGTTCGGGGCGTGGCCTTTGTCTGGCGAGAAGGTGAACTCCCGCAGCCCACGACAGGACCTGGCGACGTTAGCAATCGCCGCTTCACTCGCGTCGGCGTCCGTGAGCTGCAGCGACGTGAAGCCGCTCCAGTCTAAGTCTTCGTCGTGACCGAGGAGAGCACGCCAGACTTGGAGCTTCTTGAGGTTGGGAGCAAGCCGGAGGAGAGGGTTCATGCTGGCCATGGACTCGCCGGTGGTCGAGTGGCACCGGAAACGGTTCAAGAGCTCCAGGCGGGCGGACGTCTCTCCTGGGCTGGGCATGTATCTGAAGAAGTCGCCGCCGACGAAGAGGTCGAGCGTTCTGACATTCTGGGCCATGAGGACTATCAGCGCCGTGATGAAGCTGAGGTTGTTGAACGCTGTATGCCACGGCTGTGTTTCGGGTGTCTGTCCCGGAACCTGCACCCAAGGCTGCGACAGTTGGAAGCCGAATTCCTGCAGAACCTGCGACAAAAACGCGATGTCGTCCTCGTCGATCACTTGAGGGCCGAAGGGCAGGTCATCGCTGGAGAAGTAGAGCGTGTGGACGTGGCCTGCGAGCTCGGGTCGATTGTGCCAGAGCCGGATCAGGCCGATCAACTGCCGCGTCGTCGGGTGGCCCTGTCGCCGGGGCTGCGTCAGGCAGAGGTGTCTCCAGATGAGCGGTTCAGCGGCGTCGCGAAGGACCCGACACGTTCGTGAAGCCGCTTTCAAAGTGGCAAAGTCGGCGGCGTTAGGCTCGAACAGGGGAAGGACCAAGTAAGCGACATGGTGGTTGATGTTTAGGAAATTTGAGAGAATCTTTTGCAGCAGCTCTGTGGGGAGCTGAGTCAGTTTTGCCATGACGGGGTGGTATGCCGGGATTTGGTATGCAAGCGTCCGTGGTTGAAATAAAGGCGTCGGAACAATGAAGCTTAAGTCCCTACTTAAGTAGACAATTCAAACAGCGGAGCTCGGACTCGATTAGGCCTGCCTGCCTAATCCGATTTGTGATTTTTAGATTGCGATATTGTGTCGACGACGCTAGTCCCAGTTTCGAGCGGCACAGCTAGGCAGCAGGTCCTCTCTATCTAATCTGGTTGGGACTTTTGACTTGAGCTGTGATTGTTTAACCCGAATGCCTGCCGCGCCAAACTCACAGATCATCATCATCACAACAACCCCTCTCTGTTAGAGTGTGTGTACCAACAAGGCTGGCGGAACTCGAAAGACAAGCTATATAGGTTCGTAACAATCGCATCTGTCATTTCCTTAGAAAGACTTAGAAAGGCTTAGAGGTCAGTAAGGTGCCCCGGCAGCTAGAAATTGCTTTCCGTACTCATTTAGTAACAGACCGCCTATTTTTTCCTTTGCTAAAGCACCCACTTTTCCTGTAATAGCATGCTCTACCTTGTTGTCGTTGTCGCTGCCATTACCGTCGTCGCCGTCGTTATCACATCATCATTCCTTCCGTTACCGTCTTCAGTAGAAATAATTAACTACACAGGTAATTTAGCCACGCAGACATAGGAAAATGAGGCGGTCTCCTTTATAATTAGTTGGAGTACAAGACTTCACGTTGGGTCAACGCCGCCTGATCACAGACCATTGGCACCAAAAGCCGGGATGAAAGCTTCCATGGGGATTTGCGAGAATCTTTTTAATTCAGGTATTATTGATTATCAACAGACAAAAATAAAACCCCCACTTTCAACTAGTCGAAAGTTCCCAAACCGATTCCATCAAAACAGACTCATTGCCCTAAGCCTTGGGGTTGGGGTTGGGAGTGGGAGTCTGAGGAGCCTTGGGGTCGGGGACGTTGGGGCAGATGGCGGCGTCCTTTGCGTCGGTGCAGTCGCGGCGGATCAGCTTGGCGCCGTTGTAGACGTCCTCGCAGCTGCAGTCAGAGCAGTCGTGCCAGTAGCACTGGTTGTTGTCGTAGTAGCAGGCAATGCCGTCCTCAGAGACGCAGAGCTTCTGTTGGAGCAGACTTGTCAGCAAATCTGGATGATGTGAAATCGAGACCGGGTGTCACTTACGCGAGCGAAGAGGTTGGAAGCCTCGTTAGAAGACTCGAGGGGAGCAGCGAAGACAGCGCCGAAGAGGGCGACGGCGGAGAAGATGACGGCGGACTTCATTTTGAATGTGGTAAAAGAGTGGTTGTTGGTTTGAAAGAGTGTGGTGGTTTGTGAGTTGGTAGCGAATGAGTGACTGTTGACTGAGTTGTTTGAGTTGATGAAGAAAAAATCGTCTGGAGGAGGAGAATCTTCGACTGCTTTATAGAAACTTGACCGTCATATGTTTTCTCTTCTTGTGACGTTGTTTTCTCCTCCCACCTCATGCCGTTGCCCCCATCGCCAACCTTACCCGTGCTGTAAACCTGCGCATCTACGGGGACGATGACTTTTGGGAAATCATCTCCGGATGGAACACTGACACACACACCCGGAACACAGCCCGCGAGGAGCCCGGCAGGGCTGTGCTAGCCCACGATCCCCGCAGTCTCAGCCAAAAGCGGTGGGCTCACTATGGACTACGGAACAATTCGCATACCAATGTGGTGCCAAGCTTTGTTCTAAAGGACGCTAAACAGATTACTGTCCAGGAACCGACAACGTCTGATTCGTCATCGCGGCCCGATCGAGGTTGCATGTAGTGCTAGTTTGACAACTCGGATGATTGTTGACTGATGTGTCAAAGTGCCCATCGCCTTCGGCCCTTCGGGTAGATTCTCCCACATTCCCGTGCCGAGACTAGGTTGATGTCTATCGGGAAGCCCAAAATAATAGAAGTTGTGGAGTTGTGGGTTAGCGCATGAATCGTCCGACCTTTTTAGTGGTTTGCGGGGAGCGCAGAGGCGGAACATAGGGGTTTCCAGTTTCATATGTTGCTTGATAGGAAAATAGTCAGTGAACACAGCATTTTCTTTTAATGTGTTCATCTAGCTGTTGAATAGGCTGGATGAAATTAAACTGTTCAAAGGTTTCAAAACCACTTGAAGAGGTGATAGTTCAACTCAACACCAGGTGATCGAAAGGCGACGAGGAAGACCGCGCCATGTTGGTTCGGGACTCGGAATGGCCCCACTCCAGCCATCGGCATCTTCCTTCCAAAGGCGCAGATCCAAATTTCGGGCAGGTCCACAACCGCTTCGACCTGCGATTCATGCCATCATAGGTAGGAAGTTCAGTGGCATGAGATGTCACTGGCGACAGAGCCGCAAGCAAATTCGGCATAATGCTGACGGGGCGACCTTAACGTCGGATGAACATGCTTAACTTCACCCTTTCCGGAGGTGCCGTGCCCGAGCTCCATCAACTCCTGTTCCGGATTAAACAGCCACCCCCTAAAACATCTCCAGGCTGACTTAGGGCTTAGGGGCCGGTTACCAGAATTCCTAATCCCTAAGCGCCACATTACGGAAGAAATACAAGGCAACTTATCCGAATTGCTGAATTAACTCTACACATGCTAGTGGACTACTCCGTAAACTCTACTTGTAGAGATACCACCTGCCTACACTGGCCTTTTGGTTGCTCTGATGATGACTCTAAGTGAAAGTCAACTCGGGACGAAGTTCCTCTAAACCTACCTACGCTCTAGTCTAGTCACGATATCCGTATTCCACCTCATGGCTTGCTCCGACTAGAGCTCGACTAGAATGACATCTTATGATGGCTTAACTGTATGTTCCGCATAAGAACATTGAAGCAACCGCACACTTATGTGGGTCGTGTCCGAAAGCAAGACTCTACCCAGAGTCACTTAATTGGGATCATTGCCTTTTGGCCGGACCGCTGAACTCAGACTGCCGTCACTGCCGTGTTGGCAAAAGACATGCTAGGCGTCAGACTGATTGCCGGACGTTTCTTGGGAATTTCGGACGTTTTTTGGGAATATGCGGGGAGCCCATGAGCAAGTTCTTGACATACTGGTGGCCTTGCAACCTTGTTTTTCAAAATTCAAATACAAGCTGGCAGT